ACGTTATAGCTATGACAGCTATTAAAATCCCTTATTTGTATTGCGAAGGATGTAAAATCTATTTCTGCAATAGATAAAAGTCAAAATTAGCAACGACAACCAAATCTCATCATTCAAACTAAAAAATATTAATTTTGAAAATTTTAAATTAACATAAAGGTAGAAAATATATCGAACACTAATATTAAAATATTAAAGATACACTATGTTCTTGGTCACTTTTTATACCAAATTTCTGCATGCTAGATTGCGAGTCCAGCTTGTACTGAACTAGAAATGATCACAGTAGATTGGCTGGGAAAAATGTTGGGCCTGCCCAAAGAATTTCTTTTCTGTAGCGGTGGAAAAGGCGGTGGCGTCATAGAAGCAAGTCACATTTTATTAGTAGCGATACGTTAACAAAAGATATCTTAATACGTATGAACAGTTATCTCTGAGACTGTTCTTTTTGAAAAGCAAGTTACTACTAAACAAACCTAAGTGAAAATTTCTCTTATAGGGCAGTGGCAGCGAATCGACTTTCTTAGCGTTATTAGGAGCGAAGGCTAAAAAGATCAAGCAAGTTAAAAAACAGCATCCTGATTGGACGGAAAACGAGATTGTCGGTGAACTAGTCGCATATTGTTCTTGTGAGTATTACTGCAATTATTTTACTACAAATTTTGTCACGCGAAAATTTACAAGAGGTCTATAAGATCAAAACCAAAACGAAATTAATTGCTTGTTCAAATGTCTAGCCAAAAACGAATTAATATTATATATACATATATATTTTTGAGTCATACGGATGCTTGAAATATTAAAAATATTATAATATAATTGTATATAAGAACACAAAGGATATATTGCAAGAGAAAAAATTACATCGGCTAGGGTTCGAACTTGGACCTTCACAGAAATATAGATGTTAGCCGAAATTAATAAAATTTATACATTAGAACACATTAGAAACATTAAAGTGACTAATTGCATGTGCACAAAACCGAAAAAAGTATAAATCAATCAAGAATTATTCAATGATTGGTCAGATCGTTCCTTGTAATCTAATAATATTGAGTGAACGTTTGTATATACTTATATACAGAATTTGTATATACTTATTCCGAATTTAATAAACGCGTATCGATTTTTTATGGATTTAAAGATAAAACAGTCCCATAATTACAAGGTGTATTTTTTAAGGCCAAGCACATACTTCGGTTGAACGCGCTGGACTTATCGCAGGAATAAAATTAAGACAGTTAGAGGTCGATGATAAATACAAGCTGCGCGGCGATACATTAGCCGAAGCAATAAGAAAGGATAAAGAAGAAGGACTCATACCGTTTTACGTACGTCTAGTTTATCCGATATGTTTTTATCGATTAAACACTATAGTTCTTCGAACTTTTATTCCTTGAAAAGATCACTAGAATCGGAGAGAATTAATTATACCGTTCGTTGAATCTCTGAAAATATTATGAAATTAGTTGTGCTATTTTTTTACGTTTCTATAAAAATATACTCTATATTTTTCAATATTCAATTAATTATTATTTCTAAATTCATTCGTCTAATAATCTGAAAGATCACGTTACCTATTTGCAAATAATATATAATATTAATATAAAAAATAATAAAATTTCCAGAAAATTTTCGGAAATACAACTTCTTGAAAATACATAATATTTTCAGAAATTTAATGTCCCAATATATGTTACAAGTTCGCAGAAATATGGTATCAGGCTTATCAATTCGTCACCATAAATAATTAACTGAAAGTTTACGTAACAATAAAAACTTAGTATTAATTAATATCACTAAAAAATTCATTTAATTTAAAAATTACAAGGTGATTTCTTATCATATTAGGCTGTCGCTGCTTTGGGTACCACTGGTAGTTGCGCATTTGATTCTCTCGATGAAATTGGCATTGTAGCGAATCGTGAAGACGTTTGGTTGCATGTGGATGCTGCTTATGCAGGTATAGATTAACTTTCTTATTTTATGACAAAAGTAATTACTCTTCCCTCAATTTATAAAACAGAGCTAAAACAAATCCAATTGATTGCAGGAGCTGCTTTTATTTGTCCGGAATTCAGATATTTAATGAAAGGTATTGAAATGGTAAATTCATTCTATTTCAATCCTCATAAATGGATGTTAGTTAATTTCGATTGCTCTGTCCTGTGGCTTAAGAATCCGACATATTTGATAAACGCTTTCAATGTTGATCCTTTGTATCTGAAGTACGATATGCAGGATGCTGCACCGGATTATAGGGTAACTATTACAAATCTACTAGGATCTGCTTTAAATTGATAACGTTCAATATACATAATTACATAATTACGCTTTCAATGTTGATTCTGAGTTTCTGCAGCATGAAATGCAGGGTTTAGCGATATATTTTAGGGTAGTTATTGTACAAGCAGTTCAATTTGCGTTATCTAATTAATAAAATAAATTTAGAAAACAAGTGATAAATACTGTCGTTAAATTTTCTGATTGAGTGTATTTGGTTAAAGCATTGGCAGATTCCACTTGGACGTAGATTCCGATCTCTGAAACTTTGGTTCGTACTGAGGCTCTATGGGGTTGAAAATCTTCAAAAGTTCATCAGATCGCACGTCGCTCAAGCACACGAATTCGAAGCATTAGTTCTTTCCGATCCTCGATTCCAAATCATAGGCGAAGTTGTCATGGGAGTGGTTTGTTTCCGATTGAAGGTAAGTCGATTGTGTGTGTCAGAAATTGTTTGTATCTATAATCGAGTAGCGCGATGCAGATGCGCCACCCGTCGGCGTCTTATTAGCAGGGCTTACTGGAACTTTTCGTTTAGTAGTAGTAACATAAACTCTCTTGTAACTGAAACTCGGTTTCTTAATGTGTCGGGTACAATAAAAGTGTTCTCCCGTTCTGAACATATACCCGATTATTCTATACATTACATTCATATTTTCTCAAATATATTTGCAAAAAAATTCTTTCTTGACAACTCCTATATACAG